ATGCCCAGGCATCCAAGGAGGTGTTCTGTGGGGAAATTGTTTGAGGCTGGCTAGGGGCTTGATCTTTGCCTGAGAAGAGACTGATGTGACATTAGCTTTCAACACTGCCTGTGTGCATAGGGAGAACCAGAAACAAAGCGTTTGCTCCTTCTTTCCATTTCCACTATTTTGGCTTCACTGGTGAAAGTGAGTTGCTTCTGGCTTAAACCAGTGACAGCAAGAGGAGGAAAGCATCAGAAACTCCAACTGTGGAAACCACAGGACTGTAGATATAGAGCCATAGATTCTGTTTATCATAATCTCTCTGTTCTGACTGTTGGAATTCACTCCAGGCTGTTTGGTGACCTTGTTCCCCAGAGTCTCTGCCTTTGCTGACTCACAGCATCAGAAGTGCAGAATTTGGCACTGGACTTTCCCAGGGCCATTGAAATCATGTGATGTGGCAGGAATGGTGCTGCTTCTCTCTGTCAGCTCTTCATCATCCTCAGGAAAGCAAAATGGGCGCAGTCCTCTCCCATATGTCTTTCCTTCACAGTATAGCAAAAGGCACTAAGTTTTAGCTGCAGCTAAATGAGGCCAGCAATTAAATCAAATCTCCCAGACACAGAAGAAGATCCATTTTATTACCCATCTCTTCACTTAATATCACAACAACTGTTAAAAGCTCTGACTGAGTATATTTTTTTCTTTCCTCTTTACAGATACCCTACAAGAATGGCTGGAAACATATCATCAGGATCTGGAACCCATGGGGCCATGGGGAGTGGAAGGGGCCCTGGAGTGACACGTATGATCTTAAAGCTTTAATTTCATAAGGAGAATCACTCTTGTATAGGCTTATTGTAAAGGACCACTACCTTGCACCTATCATATGATATACAGGAGGACTGCAAAAATGGTTCATAAATAAATAGGTGTTAGTTTTGCTAGTGTAATTCCATCAGTGTTTTCCTGACTAGAGAGATATTCATGTGTCACTCTTATGTGATTTAATAACATCCCTCCTCTCCCTGTTGCTAGCATCGCTCAGAACTTCTCTGCTGAGAAAAGTCAGGCTGGTGTGTTGCATCTGGATGGGTTGGCGGGTGGTGCAGACGTGTTTAAGGCTGGGAAAATAGCTATCTGCTCACACAGCATCCTCCCATTTTTTTGGAAGGGTGAACTATAATCCTAACTGCAATTGAAATGTCAGTAGAGTACATTCACAGGTAAGCTGCATAAATCAATAAATTATTGATTCATGCTCTGTTTATTTATCTTAAACTCTGCAGATAGTACAATTATAACTTAATTATAAACTTGCTGCTTGGAAACAACATGTTTGACTGGCTCATGTGCCCTCTACATGTTAATGCAGTATCAGCACTTCAGAGTGCTGTGCCTTGGTACCTCACTAACCTCTCCACCATGGGGACAGGTGATTTGAGCTTGGAGGGGAGAGGCAGGATTCCCCATCCCAGGGTGGGCAACTCAGACAGGCACAGCAAAGGCTCAGAGCTCTGTTTGCTGGCCTTGACTATGAAGGTATTGAGCATGGTCCTGTTCCCAAAGTGCAGTTTGAGAGACTGAAAATGGCCTGAGAGACAGAAAATCGTGCCTCATCTGCTTGTTGATTTTTTTTCCTGTTTGCAGCTCTCCTCAATGGGACCGTGTTGAACCTCAATACAGAGAAGCCCTCCTCAGAAACAAGGATGATGGAGAATTCTGGTATTTCCCAACTGACCCTTCTGTCAACCAGTTTTTCTGTTTGCATTCATTATGAAAAAAAAAAAAAAAAGAATCATTTAGGCAGTTCTCTGCTCTTAATGATGGCTCAAGTCACCACATGTTAGCTGTGTGTAAACAGCAAATGGGAGGTTGTCCTGACTCCATGGTTTCAGAGGAAATGAGACCTGGAGAAATGTAGCTGACCACAATAAGCTGGTTAAAAAAAAAAAAAAAAAGAGAGAAAATAGAAGAAAAATGAGAGAAGTAAAAATGACCAGCTTTCTGAGATGTAGTCATTTTGTCCCACTGTCCTTTCCCATCAAATGCCTAGCTTGAACTTTGGAATGGCTGGTGCTCGAAGAGGACTGCTGGCTGGGCAGGTCAAGGACTTGTACACTTGGCTGGTCTACAGGTGCTTGTGTTTTTTCATCACTTCTGATAACTCTTAGATCCTGTTTAGCCATGTGTGAGCCATCTTGTAGAAAAGTTGTTATTATTATTCAGAAAGGAAAGCAGAGGAATGGCAGGCTGGTCTGAGCAAAGCATGAGTGCAGAACAGGACACTGTGGATGGACAAAGCAAGGTGCAGGGGCAAAGATGTGCTGGAGATAGCAGGGATCCACGTAGGTACTACTGAACATGCCCTATAAATTTCACCAGGGCTTTAGGTGCAGTTAGGGCAGCCCAAATGCATTGAGAGCTGACCTCTTCTGCAAGGTATCAGCCAGCGCAGCCACAGCCTGCACTGCTCTCTGTAATCCCCTGCCAAAGACATGGAGAGTGACTGTGAGTACCTGACCAGTGTCTCAAAATGAAAGGTGAGATTTTCTCCTTCCTCTCCAGGATGTCCTGTAAAAACTTCCAGGAGCATTTTTCCTGGCTGTATATATGTAACAGCACCCCAACGTTTCTGGACTTTGGAGATCAGCGCTGCACAAAGTGGTCTGTGGACAGGCACATCAACCTGTGGCGTCCAGCCCTTGCCGCAGGCAGGAGCAACTATTCCCCAGGTAAGGAACGTTCACTGCAGTCACTCAGTCCCCTCCTCCTCCCCACTAATGGTTACAGTAAAACGTTTCCTCTGAGCCCCGAACTGCAGACATACCAATTGCCAGTTGTTAATGCCTGCCCTTTCCCTTTAGAGCACCTACCAGATGAAGAAGCAGAAAGAAAGCAGCAGCACTGGCTGCTAAGTTAAAACAGGAGACCTGGGAGTTAGAAACCCTGAACTGTATAAATCAAAATATGCTTGTCTATCTCGTTTCAACCAGTTGCAGTAAGTGTTACTGGGAACCTCATCAGAAAGTCTCATCTGGCAAATCTGTAGCTGATTTTACAGAGCAAGAAATACTCTGAAATTAAATGGCTATGAAATGAAATTAAATAATTGTGCTACAAAGCTCTATTTTGGAAGGTAGAAAGGCCTTTGAACAGATTGTTAGTTTTGCTGGCTGTGCAAGGACTCGTCTGGCATTGCAAGCTCCAATTATTAGTAGTGTTTTTAAAATCTTTCTTATTTTTTGACAGCTCCATCACTATTTGGGCTCTGTGTTTTTAATCTTGGATGGTAGCATGTGATTAGTGAATGAGCTGCTTCTTCTGCAGCACTGATCCCTGATTTAGCAGCAAAGAGGTTTCAGCTTAAAGGTTTCAGCCCCCTCCTCATAACCTCGATCACCTAAATTGCACCTTTGAAGCCACTCAACACAGCTACATGGCTTAAAGTCTAGACTGGTTTAAGCAGATGCTGCCATCTTTGTCCTTTTTTCCCCAGACTGGGCATTTTACTGTTTCCTTATTAGGCCAAAACCTTGGCCAAGAAGAAGCTTTTTCCCACTGGTCTTGTGACACTGGCCACTCTGTCTTGTCCATCACAAACACTAAAAGGAAAGAAGGAGAGAGAGTTTTGGATCATTTTGTCTTTCTCTTGTGTTTGTGATCTCCAAGCCACAGTCCTTTTCATCTCAGCCACTGGGTCAGGCAACTGATGAAAGGTTCACAGCTTTTCTGCCTCAGGGAAAGTGTGCAATACAGGTAAAGCAGATGTAGGAGGGGTGAGAAATCTGCATGACTTTTATGACTTTGCCAGAGATTTCCAGAGTGATTAATGTGCAATTAGTTTAACTCCAGATGCCTCAACTCCTACTGGTAATGTCGGGAGACTACATTGCTTTGTTGTATTGAAAGGATCTTGGAGCACTAACTGCCCTTTCCTCTGCGTCTGTGTAAGCAAGATCTGGCACAATAGGCTGCTACTGGTACATTTATGTTGCTGATATTAATCTATTAACACTTTCTCAGCAGGTGCAGCTTCAGGCAACCCTCAGTACTTTTTCAAAGTGCCAGATTATGACCCCAAAACCTATAATGTAGTCATTTCACTCATGCAAAAACATACTGAGGATATGCAGGATGCAAAAAACCTGAAGATTGGCTTTTTGCTCACTATGGTAAGCACAATCTGGTATCATGTAGGCACTGTTGTTTTCTGTGTGGCTTATTATACCTGTACATGGATGTGAAAGGCTGGATTGCCTTTTGGGCTGTAAGAGGAGAGCAGTCAGTATTTGCAGTGAATTTCTGGATGCCTTCTATCGTAGAACATCACAGGAAAAACAGAGTTAGGCAGGCTTAGTCTGCTTTATTCATGTCTTAAGAGAGGAAAGGTTGAACTTTTTGTTCTGCATCATCCCAAAATATCCCTGGGAAACTCAGGGACTCCTGAGGTTACAGGATGTGCCAGGGCAATATCGTCTGTGCCCAGAGCCACTGGACATGTGCCTTGCTGGCCTGGTACAAAGCATGACAGCCAGTACTAACCAGGATTTGAGCCTTACTCCAGATCTAGCAGGGAAGTGAGCATCTTCTTCTTCTCCAAAATGGGCCTGCCTTACTTATCCCCCCTTTTCTGGCACAGTAATGCCATGCAAAACCTATTTACAAAACACATGGAACGCTTTGCTCAAGACCAGCACCAGAGGTAACCCACTCAGATACCTGGGACCTCCACTACAGTTTCCCTGCTTTTTCTCTTGATGACTGTCCAGTGAGGTGCCATTTCAAGGGCAGTTGTTATCAGAGAATTACCAGGCTTACTGAAAGCCCAGTGCTAGTGTGAATGGATGCTAGCCTTTTCCAAAGTGTTTTTATTGTTGTCTAAGGAGGGTAGAAGGGAATTGTCCTTAACCTGAAGAAAAAAATGAAACAGACATGGCTATGACCCTAACTTCACAGTCTCCTGATCACTTGAGGGGTTTGTCCTTGTCCCAGGCTTTGAATAATTAATGCCTTAAGTCTAACAGCTCCTCATAAAGGAAGAGCATGGCTTTTTAGCTCATAAAAAAAAACCAAAACAAAAAAGAACCACACACACACACACAAAAAAAAAACCAAACCAAAATCAATCAAACAAAAAAAACCAGTCTCTAAGCAACAAAAGATATAATAAAAAGAGTTTTCCTTCAGTAAGTGGAACTCGCTATCTCCAAGCAAGGAGAGCCTCTGCCCTATGCAGATACCAGGCCTGCAGGACTTCATGGGGCCAGCTGTACCCCTTGGAATGAGTTGCTGCCCCCGGGAAATGGGGAACTTGCTCCTTTCAGCATCCTCATCAGCTTTCTCCAGCAGTCACCACACATGGAAGTCCCTGCATACTCTTGCATGATGCACGTCGAACTTGATCAGTTACCCATTTTAACAGAAATTACCTTCACTGGGAGGTCATGGTATAGGTCTTGGGTCCCTTAAAAAGAGGTTGTTTAATCAGGAAGGAGACTAGGGGACATATTTGCTCTATTTGTGCTTTATATTTAAATTTTCTTTCTTTGCCTCCAGTAGATGCTGAAGTTTGTTCATTTAGTTTTTCTCACTTTTGGTATGCCCCTAAAGATGGATGCAATTTGATGAGTATGTCAAGTCTGGATGGCACGGCCTCTGAGCTGATAGAGCTAAGCTCAGCTCAGGCTCAGTTTGGGCTTGTGATCCTGGGTGATCCTTGCTGATGGGCAAGGTCAGAACAGACTGTTAGGAGAGGCATCAGGATTCCCTCAGAGCACCTGGTCAGTGAGGGAGAGGGGAGAGCTGCGCTGCTCTGTCACACCACAGCTTTTAGTAATGTAATGATATTGGTACAAATCCACACAGCCGATTATACAGAAAATATTCCCCCATGGACACAGCCTAAATATTTTAACATGAGAGCTTGTCTACCAGCTCCTCACAGCCAGCCCAACCTCCTGCCCTGGTAGCAGCAGAAGCCAAGTCCAGGAGCTAAAACCAGGCTAGGTGTACAGTGCTGTTCCCCGGGTTTAGTTGTCAGTGTCTAGGGGAAGTCAGAGGTGGCATCTTTGCAGGAATGTTTACAGGGGGTTTTCCTTGTGCCGGGAAAGTGCAATTGCTAAGATTCATGTGGCTTCACTCTTCCTGCCTGAACTGCTTTCGCTGCTATTATTCATTAGCAGCATCATTCATTGACCAGTACCTTTTGAGACGGATCAAATTGTTGCTGTGAAGTTAAAAAAGTATTATGCCTGGGCAGGATGAGAGGGGAATGCGGTGCAGGCAAGGATGCAAACCAGAATGGACATCTCTGATAGCTCTAGGAAGCCTTTGATTAAATACAGACATGGAACACTAATATGTGGCTGTGAGGGAAGTTTAATGTTGTGTGATAGAGCTAAGCAATGTATAGAGGCTGATTCTTATCTCAAACCAGTTTTGACTCCATTGAGATATTAATCTGCTTCTGCTTTTTACCAGAAGGAATGTGGAATGAGACCCTAAAGTGAAAAACGGATTACACCATTTATTTCTTTGCAGCACTGCCCATTTCTATCTGCTCAAGATCTGACCTATAATACTTGGCAGTCTACATACCTTCCAGCTGTCTGTAACAGTAGTCATCTTTTATTTTTCCTCCCAAAATAGCAGTTTTATGTTATTTTCTCCCAAAGGCATGGCTCATAAATAACTCTGCCATGCTGTATAACTGTTCTAAATGGAATTTATACTCGCTGATGTATTTTGGAGAATATGTTTAGTAAGAGGTTTTTATTATGCTATCTTTAAATGTCATCATAGTAATAGCTGTTGCATTATATTTGTTTCATCTCAGCAAAAGTACTGGAATAACAGAAGAAAGATCAGAGTATTGTTTTCTTGTGACACTTGCTGGAAGGTTTGGGTTGTGATTCTTTAAACATTGTCATCTAGATGAGATGCTCGGTGAGCTCTCTGACCACTCTGAGTCACACTAGATCTCAGGGAAGTTTTAGTGACTATTCATCCTTGATTCCTTCATGAACCTCAGTCTGCTTAGTGGTAACTGAAGTCCTCCTCGAAGGACTCACATTCATTTTGCCTTCCGTTTCTTTCAGTTCCTCCACTCTTGTGCATATTTGCTGTGTCCTTGAATAAAGCCTGTTACCTGGAATGGGCTTTTCGTGCCACTGGGGAGGTTAAGGCATGTTAAGGTGCAGTAGTATATTGAGAGAGCTGTGGGAATGTAAGGCTGCTGTGGGTGTACTTGCTGATTTACTTTGGTTCCTGGTATGGAGGGGAAATAAATAGCTCGCTATATTTTTTCTTTCAGGAAAACTCCAAAGTTCTAAGACAAATTTTTTCCCTGACTCGAGATGTGACCAGCTACTTTGTCCTGAGCCCATATTCCTGCTACAACAGAGGACCAGGAATTTGAATTTCTCTTACGAATTTTCATAAAGAAACAAGACTACAATGAGTAAGATGATAAGTCCTCCTTATAGGCCCCAGGCTTGCAGTGTGCCAGGATTTAACAATTTAATGTCAGGATAGCTACTGTGGCAACTGGCTTTTGACATCCTCTAGAAGTGTGTTGGAAAGACACAAGTGAGTGCTAAGCCACCATGTTGAGGGGGATCAGATGTATAGTCATATGCATAGAGGTGGCCACTGCAGAACAGGGCAATAGCTCAGCTACAGGCACCAAAGGTCTCAGCTTTGTTGCAGAGCCACACAAGTGAACAATAATTTATGCCAGCTGGATGCTAGATGAAACAGGTCCCTTTCTGCTCAGAGTGGGACCTAGAGGACCAAAGAGCAGTAAAAGGCCTTGATCATTTTACCCAATCATCTCATAGACAGGCTGGCAGGGACTCATACCCTGCAGGTATGAGAGGAGTCTTGAAGATTAGTGGGAAAATGGTATCTTAGTTCATGCAAAGGCAACTGTTATCACGTTTTCACATAAAATCTGGATGTACTTTGCATAAAGAACAAGCCTTACCAAATGACCTTCAAGCATCAGATGTGCAGTAGCTTTCCTTCAGTTTTATAGTGGGGATGACTGCAGCTCTTGCCTCATAGGTCCATATGTTAATAATGAGATTGTTTTCTAGGCTTTGGCCCCTGGCAAAAATAGCCCAGAACCAACTAAGGCAACTACTTAGTTATGGAAAACAAACATGAAAATTCTGTGCCCTGGGCCGGACTGCTTTCAGCATGAGTAATGCACAAAATGGCTCAGCCTTGGGAGGCAGCAATCCCGGGAGAGCCTCTGATCCTTGTAGACCTTCCTGAGCTAGGCCAATGTGGGGATCCCCTTCCCATGGATCTCTGCAGCACTCACCTATATAATAGCACAGATGCTATAAATACAACATCTGGCTTGCCCAATTTATCTACCAAAACCAAAACTGAAGTATTGAATGTTGCTACTGAGTCTCAGAAGGGAATGGTGACGCAAGCTCAATTTCAGGCAGTCTGCAGACATTTAAGAGATGTTGTCTTTTAGTAGCCCAGATGCTATTTTTATTGCTGACTATTAAACTAGGCAAAGAGAAAGCAAGTTAAAATTTTATGTAGTTCAAGGCAGGACAACCCTGTCTTCTGTGTGTTGAGGTTAGTCTTGGTATTCTCAGAGTGAGAGGAGTTACCCTTTCTCTGCTGCTGGGCTTGCAAGGTCAACTCAGGGAAGGCAGTGGCCCCAGAGCAGCCAGAGACTCAGATCTGCTCATGTCTGCTTGCACAGAGAGACCCAGGGCTGGTACAACAGGCTTGACCAAACTGGGCCAGACTGGATGGTGTGGGTGCTGAGCATCTTGTGGGGCTATGGGCTGAGTGAGCGCTCCTGTTGGTGCCTGCCTTCTTCCACATCTTCAATTCAGTGCTCTGAAAAGGCCCATTCTCTTGCAGTTTGACTCTTGTAACTCTTTTCTAGGAACCCAAACTCCCTGCCCAGCCCAAAGCTGCCAATGGTAAGAGTCTGTGAAAATTGATGTACATACTAGTAATGCGTGGTTACTGGAGACCTGTCCATTTGGTAGCCACCTCTACTGACTCCCCTTCTTCCTTCCCTACATGCCAGACACCACTCTGCTCTTCTCTCCTTTCACCACCCAGTACCTGTCCCAGAGTTTGACTCTGGCACCCTGACACCTTGCTGGGAGAGGGGGTAACAAGCCTGGGGTGCCTTTCTGGAGAGAGAGGCGTGACAGTGAAGCCCTTCCTCTTCACGTGTCTTTTTCAGAGTCTGATTTCTGAAGGACACAAATATTAAACAGTCCCTCTGCCAACCATTCCATCTGTCCTTTTCACCTTGCCACATTTAACACTTTGACCAAGCAAATATAGCAGGGCAAGAACATTTCAAAGATATTAAATTTTGCAATGCCTGTAAAATGGGTATGTATCTAAGGAGGAGAGAAGGGGAAACTTTGATGAAAAAGTCACAGCTAGAGTTTGAACTCTTTTAAAAAGATCTCAAATCTGAGAGCAAGGTGATACATGCCTTCCCCAGGGAAATGGCTTCGTTTAGGTGCTTGCGCCCTATAGAGCACAGGAGTCCATAGAGATGAGGCCCAAAGCCCAAATAGCTTTCTTCTGATTTTCATCAGAATGTCTTCACAGACATAAGGGAAATGACACTTCAAAACTGGTCGCACCTCTAGTTCAACCCACATTTCAGCCTGTCTAGCCCAGTTACCATCTGTGGCCGGACTTCCTCGCTCTCAGCTGTGCAGGTTGCCAGAGCGGCTTCAGTCCACGCTGCTGTCTCACCAGTTGCTTGCAAAACCCTGCCACTGAGGGGCTGTTATTTACAGCAGTGCAAACTCAGAGCAGCTCTTTGGGGAGCCACAGGTGTAAAGCTGCTTCAGGAGAAAAGAAAACAGGGTCCTTTCCTTCTGATTCATTTTCCAGCTTGCAATTAAGCCCTATTAGAGGGGCAGTGTAAATGGTGGGTTATTATCTTGCCACTGACAAGCTGTCAGTTTACTTGACTGTTGTCATTAGCCAATGTTTTGATAATGACAAATGATGGTACCCACACTTTCTGCTCTTGTTCAGCTGTTTGGGCTTCACTGGTGTCAATTATCTTGCACAGAGCTGAAGGCATTGGGGCTTAGGCTTACATTTTTTTGGGAAAGCTTTATAATGTTAAGGATAGTTTCCATTAGTGCCTGGAGGGTTGGAAGAAAATCACTTAACCATTGAATTGCAATTGCTCAGGTGCAGTAAAGCCTGTCTTGGGGTTGAGAAGAGAAAGGAAGAGTCAACTCCTGCTCTATTTCCTTGGTCACATGAATCTTCACATTCCCTAAGCCAGTAGTTTTAACTGAGAGCTATCAATAAGGATCAGGCTCTTTATACTTAGGTATTGACTTGCTGAACTCCAGCCTGGATGTGTTCTGTATCTTCCTTAGGCCCTGACCTGCTCCCTCCTGGTTGTATCAAGTGATACCATCCAAATTATGCTTCTTTCCTCATTGTAGAAGCTCTTCCTCGCTCCTAGTTCACATTATCTGGGGGTGTTAAAACTACAAGCTCTACTGTATATTCCTTGCCCTCTCAAGTGCTGTTTGGATCTGCAGACTTCTGCCTCCAGTTGTTTTGTAATTGAATTATTTATGTGTGTACTTTTTCTTTGATCCAGGATGTACCAAGACAGAACGAGGACAGCTCCTATAAGGCTGTCTTCCTGAGATACACTAAGCAGGTATCCTATCTAAAGTATCTTGCTGAAACAAAATAAAAAAAGGCATATGGACTTGGAAAAAGAAAACCTGATCTACAGTGTTGATACAAGTCCATTTAGAAAAATGTTTTTTGAAAATGTGGCTCCATCCTCAAGTGGATGCCTTGAAAGGAATATTGATTGACCTGCCAAAATCCCCAGAAAAATGGGACATTCATCTGGGCTAGCCCCATATATCAGTGGAGAATTGGAGATTTGTGGTTGTGCTAGTAGATGTACTTTTTTTTTCTTTTTTTGGCTTTGGTTTGTTTATTTACTGAAAGCAATTAGAAAGCCTTGGGTATTCCCCCCTCTCATCAGCATAATTTTCCATTTGCCTTCATGACATTTGGAAACCAGACATCAGTCAGCATTTGAGTAATTGATTCCCGCTCTTTCAGAGCCAAACTCAATGTGTTCACAAGAGATGATTTTAATAGTTTAATAACCTGCTAGAAAGAATTCCTTGACTTAGTCAAGAGCAAAAAAAAGTCACTGCCAAAAGTCTTGGCACAATGGACCTCTTGCAGTTATTAGTTACATCAATGCATGAAGGTGGAAATGAACACTGGCTGCCACGCTGAATACCCTGGGAGTGTCTCCAGAGGGAGGTTCACTGATGGATAGCTGAGAGGGGAGCAGGCAGCAGTGCCTGTGCTCCCAGCCTGCCCACCCAGCTGCCTGCTGTGCCTATGGGCAGCTCCCCAGACAGGGGCTGGTGAGGTCAGCAGCTGTTCCCATCACTGATGAAAATACCCCGTGGTGATGGGAATGCCTGTAACTCTCCTGGAGACCCTTGTAGGGAAGGACAATGAGTGGATCAGCAGTGTGGAGGGCTTTGTTATACTCCAGAGGGGCTGCAGCTTTTCCTCTGATATAAGCAGAGGTCCTTCTTGGTTGCCACAGAGCATGAGTAAAAAAAGTTTTTGGCAAAAGTGACACAAAAGAAAACTTTACACTCACAGACCTCTCTTTGCACTTTATTCTACGTTAGGGCTCAGATATTGATGCCTTGCAGCTGCAACAACTCCTTAATGAAGTGATCCTTCAAGGTAAAGCTTTTACAACCCAGCTAATGTCTTTGGTGCTTCCTTATCCTTAGTCTAGTGCAAATTAGACAGAGGATTTAGTGGTGTCCTGATGGTCCTCAAAAAATCCTCAGTGTAGCTTACTGCACTGTTGGATCTTGAAGAATGACAAGTGCCTCCACCAGGATTCCTTTACGTGCACAACATTTTGCTTTTATTTTTAACAGAAAATCAGAATAATATTCACATGAAGAAGGCAGTGCAACCCAAACGAGCTGCTAACGGACTTTTTAATGCATGGCTGTCAGCAATGCTGTGCATCTGCTTTGAGCCAAAATTTGCCCTCCACTCCCCCTCCCCATCTGCTAAGGTACAGCCTCTGCTTCCCAGACCCACCCTACCCCATGCTGCCCTCCTTCTGGATGTCCCTGCAGCCCTCATGAGCACCCCTTCCTGCTCAGTGCCCCACCAGCTGCAGCAGGAGCTCAGACCCTGGCTGGGCTGCACCAGTGAGTGCCCCAGGGAGCTGAGCCTCCCACTGTCACCCAGTTTCTTCCAGTTCAGCCCTGGCCTGCATAGCTCCTCTGCAGATGCCCCAAGCTGGCTTTCAGCATTTCCCAGCTCTCTTAACCTCGCCACTTTGAAAAGAGCATGAGAAAAGGTCACAGCCAGAGGGCTTAAACCAACTCACATGCACAAGGCTCAAAGTGCTTAGAACTTGCTAATTCAGCATAAATGGACTTTCTTACCACTTGTTCCCTTATCCTTATTCTGAGAGGAAGGAGTTTCCTTCAGGGCAGGTAGGTGGGTAGAGACTGTGCAGAGTTAGCTACCTGTGAGCCCAAACAGGGCAAGGGAGCAGTAGAGATGTCTGAGACATGCCAGATTCCCTCAGTGGACCTCAGCCTGGCACATATCCCTTCCTGCTGTTTAAGAACCTGAGCCAGATCTGGGGCTTTTTAGCTATGTGAGTCTTCAGACTGGTGTCCTCCTTCCCTCCGAATGGTGGCCTGATGCCTCTGTTAACCCCCTTACTCTCACTGATTCCTTCTATTTTGTCCATCCTTGCAGATGAAATGACCAGCCTGGGAGGAACATTCAGCTTTGATGCATGCAGAGCCATTTTAGCTCTGATGGATGTATCCTTTCAACAGACGCAATAAACTTCCCCAGTGCTGCCCATCCTTGCCTTGAGTTATGGCTGAGCCGAGTGTCCCTGTGTGAGAACCTGCAAGTAAATATTAGCCATGGTCCTCAATAAATAACTGTCCCAGAGTCTATCAGGGACTTTGCCATGCATGCCCTGGCTCTGGTGTTTCTGCTGAAAGGTGAGGATCAACCTTCTGTTACCAGCCAACACTCCTAGCACTGCCTGCAAAGCTGCTGTTAGGGGCAGAAGCACGGCCACTGCCAAATCACGGGCACTTGATTCATCCTTTCCAGTGTACCTTCCCTATTTGTATGGATCATGCAGTCTTTTTACTGTTAATGGGACAACACTGGAAACACGTTGCCAGCTGTTGTAGGACAAGAGGACTGCTTGATGAAAACAAATTCTTTCCCACGTCTTTTCTCCCCCTTGCTTGCTTACTGTCTCTTTTCTTCCATGCCTTGAAATAAATTTGAGACATTTTCAGACCTTTATAAACTGGCAGGGAATGAATAAAAATGAGCAGAAGCCCCTCTGTCTTTCCAGATTTCTGCATCTAGGCAGTGAAATTTTTCCCCCTTTCCAAAACGCCTCCTGGGCTTTGCAGGTGCTGTGAATGTGTGGCACATGCAAAGAACTGACAAAGCCACTTCTCAGCTTTAATCAAAGATTAATTTTTCATTGTGTGAGCTGCATGCATCCCACGTACAGTGTTGACCTATCCTGGCCTTTAAAGGCAGGATCAGCTTTTTTCCACTCAGATTTCATGGCAGTGGCACTTGTCTGCTTATATTTCACTGGTAATCAGTTTTGCTTTCAGGCAGTTTTCACCATCCCAACTGCATGAGGTGAGGTGCTGAATGTCTGCCCAGGACCCCTGGGTGGTGTGTGGAGAGGAGCAGTTCCACTGCCATAGACCTTTGAGCATCCCTGGGGAACGCCTGCTGACATCCCTCGTGGTGAAGTGTTCTCTTCTGTGAGGCATATCATGGCTCAAAGGCTGCTGCCACCTTCTGACAGCAGGCATCAGGATCAGCTCCTCATGCTCCTGGCGCCTTCAGTGCCTGTTCCTCCAGGAGGATCCAGCCAGAGCTAACCCTGTGCTGCCTCATGTACAGGGGGAAGGCAATGTGCACACACAGCTTAGAGTATGGGGTCACCTTCATCCACAGGGCCCCTTGTGCTCGGTAGCTAAATGTCAACTGAAGCAATCACTACAGGTTCCCTTGTGGTTAAAGGCACTGTATAATAGAAACCTTTTGTTGTTTGTGAGCACAGGTATGAGCAGCTGTACAATGTGCCAAAGAAGATGATTTTAAGCATAACTGAGAGCAGAAAAGCTCTTGGCTTTCTCCACACAATGTAACAGACAGAAGAGACCATGTCTTACGTCTTTCTTTACGTGAAGGCAGCATCCTTGGGAACAAAGACAGCCAGGTTCAACTTCCATTAAGAGTTCCGTTCTTAACTGAATGCCCAGCTCAACTCGAACGGGCGACTGACGCTGCGGGAGTTCGGGAGCCTCTGGCGGAGTCTCATGAAGTACAGGGTACACGGGACCCTCTCCCTATCCCCCTCTTCTCCTCTGACACTGCACTTTGCATCAGCAGGGTGCAGATGTTCTGTCATATCAAAGCGCTGAGGATAAAAATGCTCCAAAGGTTCCTTGCTCTGGATGGGGGGGACACATTTCCATCCTCTCATGTAAAGGTTGAGAGCTCAGGGAGCAACGGTCTGTGTAAGGTGCTCCAAATGAGCAGCCAAGGCTTTTCTAGCGCTGGGAATACTGAGGGGAAAGTGGAGAACGGTAGGGAGGTCAGTTAGACTCAGAACCCAATGGAAATTCCTGTTTATGTGCCACCACTGGAAATTTTTAAAAAAGCTTTCTCAGCTGAAAGAAGTTCTTGAACAGAGTAATCTGAAAAGTGTCACTTCTTGCTGCAGTTTGTAGTGGAAATGTGTAGGATCCAATGGAAGTTTATCTAGGACAAACGTCTGCTCCAGGATAAGCATTAGGTCTGAAAGCAGCAAACACAGTAGGTTGCTATTTAGGAACCCACCTAAATTCAGAGCCAAGGCATGCATTGAAGGTTCTCTCTGTTGGGTCCTTCTCCCTCAGTCTTGGTACAGGATAGGAAGTTTTCCTGAAGCCTCAGGGTTGGGTGGGCTCTGCTTTGTCATCCCTCTTGAGGTGGTCTGAGGCCATCTAGGACATGGGGTGCCAGTTCCTCATCTAGCAGTCGTGCTCTTTCCACTAACAACATCACAAGTGTGGCTTGTGGGGTTTCAACAGTGTGTTGGGAAAGATGACCTCCCCATCATTCTGGCACTCAGGACTCCTGGCTTATCTCATATGTTATTGGTAATGTCTTTTTGTCAGTGGAGGTGTGAGTATTCCCATTGCTGCCTGCACATGTAAACCAGGGAAAGTTAGCAAAAAGGCTTCCATCCACCCAAAACTGTGGGATTGCTTACACAGTCACATACTGTTTGAGCCTTCTGGAAATGGGTCTCCCTTGTCACAGTCATCCCATCTCATCTGTGTAACTTCTTTGCAGCCTATTTATTAAGGAGGGAAAGCCTCCTACATAATTAGATGAAGCAATAAACTTGGGGAATGCTTATAGAGCCCTGAAATCTACCTTTACACTGTTTTTTAGGATATCTTCAGCAAGGCAGACAGGAACCATTCTGGATTTCTTGATGTATCTGAACTGAAGAGCGCGATACAGACAGCAGGTACGTCCATAGCTCCCTTTCTTGTCCCTGTGGCAGTGAAGGAAAGGATGAAAAAGAGAGAGGAGAAAAAAAAAAAATTCAGGGAGAAAGTGGTTTGGATTGCACAGAGGTGCCAGTTAGACCACAGCTCTGCTCCGAGATCTGCATTGTTTTAGGGCATTGAGACAGAAAGCTCATTTCAGAGAGAAACCCTTGGCACTGCAGCTGGGGAGCCAGCAGAGAGGCAGAACCGGCCAGAGCCTTGCAGAAGAGCTTACCCATAGTCTCTCTAGGTTATGGACAGTCAATGCTTGCACCCAATTCCTGCACTTTCTCTCCTGGGCAGTGACTAAGTCTGCAAGGGAAAGCTACAGTGACAGACATTTATTTAGTTTGCACTGACCTCTGTTGGCTACATGAATGCTGAAATTTGCAGTGAGTACATAGGACCCCTTCATAAGAGTGAAGCATTTTAGCTGGAACATCTCTCCAAAGAATTTGTGCATGAAATACAGCTCAGAGACAGCAATCTTCTTAAAAACCATACAGTAGAGAAGCTCCCACTTGGTTACCTGGAGCTTGGAGGGGTGTTGTACCCAGGAGGAATCTAGTGCAGAATAGCTATTCATGGAAGCCATGAGGTGAGGGGAGGTATGTTTAATTTTTTTGTTGCTGTGAGGTGGACAGAGCATTAGCATCTGTCTGAGGAGCACAGCACTAATGTGCCAAATGTCAAAGGAGAAACTGCCAGGTCCATTCTGTAAGAAAGGTGCTAAAGTGTAAAACTGGGAGGAATACTGTACACTGAGAAGTCCTGGCAGCAAAATCAGTGCAGCTATCTGAAGAGATAAAAAAGGCACCATTAATGAGCACATTCGATACATCTTAGGCTATAAGCAGTTCTGAGTGGGGGAAAAAAGAAAATTAGAAGCTCATTGTTGCTGCCTTCTGAGCCAGAGAGCTGCATTTGAATCTGGCTTTGCATTAGGATGACCCCCATCCTAGCTTTTAAGCAGGAAGGAGTGGACAGCCCCAGAAGGTGTTTGGGAGGTTGGTGCTACCTCTGGAAATGGCACTAATGTATCTAAACACAGCTCCTATCCAGCTGTTCCCTGAAGTGTTCAGGGCTTACCCAGCAGAACACTGAAGTCTGTGCTTGATTTTCACTGTTGTCCTCATTCTTCAAAGCATAATAGCGATGGGTCAAACTTTCTGCCAAGTGAGGCAGGCTAGCTGCATTAACAACCCTGCTGCCCTGAAATGAAGGAGCATTGGCCTGGTGTATTTACAAACTCCTCACTGGCAATATTGACTGCATCAAACTAATTTTAAGAAACATGCCTGTATTTTAAAGCTTGACTAAAACCAGAGCGAGGAATGCAGCAGACAAAAGGCCTGGGGAGTAATCTTACAAATAAGCAACAGCATGTAACTGAAACGTCTTGGGGACAGAGAGGACTGACACTTCACTCTTGTTGATGAGGTTAATTGAGAGACATTGCCAGGTGAGAAGGTTTCAGAGCAAGTATAGCCCAGACAGACCACGCCAAATTGCTCATATTTTACTAGGGTAAGACATAATTGTAGCATGTAAGCAGCACTGCAATGCTTGCTGGAATCTGCTCTCCAGAGAGAGCTTGACTGAGTTCCCACTACCTTCAAAGGGTTAAAAATGAGATTAGAATTCATTGCCTGCTACTACAGTGGTTCTTGGCAGCAGCTTAAAACCAGAATCAAAGAAGAAATTTCATTAATTTTTTTTTTTTTGTTATTAACTTTTCCTCCTAGGAAAAAAAATCTAAAATCATATTTATCTTAATTTGAAATCTATCTTAAGCCTAAATGTATTGCCATGATTTAAATATTCAGCATTGTGTCTTCTGCTGAAGACCTCCAACTAGGCTCATGCAACCAGTTTGTTGATGTACTAACCCACCTCCATTGGCTGTATCTCCCCCTACACAGTGTAAAGAAACCATTTCCTTCTTTTTAACTTGTTCAACTAATTTAGTTCAATGATGACTTCACTTAAAACTGAAAAGTTTAGAGCTGGTTGAAAAAGCAGGGAAGTTACTTCTCTTCCAGCTGAGCCACTAAAATCTAGGAGTGAACAAATGAGACTTTCCTGAAATCTCAGAGAGAGCATTAAACCAAAGCTATCCATTCAGTTCTCTGCAGAAAATTTCTCCTTTGTTTAGCAAATCAGCTTAGTACAAAATATATTTAAATCATTCCTCTTACATAGTGAGCACATTTAGGGTAGTTTTATTTAACTAATAAAAGACTCATTCTAAAAGGCAATTTTTGTTCATTCAATTGAATACCAATTTCCATCCAAACAGACTGTGACACAAATACTGAATAATCAGCTAATAAAAAAAGAAATGCACCCTTCACCATTTCCTAATAGACGAGAAAATGTAAAAATTAAGAATCCCAGGCATGCTATACTGAATAATAGCACGATCATGCGATATCTCCCTGTTCGGCAGAAAGGGCCAGAGGTATTGCAGATGTTACACTCAGACTTTAACAGTCATGAGCCAAAGAAAATCACCCTTTCTTATAGCTAATAAAAGCTAAAAAGGCAAATCAAAGTAACACCAGATGAGTTAACTCAGTGTTTCCTTCTTGCTGACCTAAGCCACAATTTGAGTAGGCGGCTAGATGGACCTGGATCTTCCATCACCCTACCTCGATGCTTATATTTGGGGAGAAGCAAGCTGCTGCCCAGGGATGCAGAGACCTGCCGTGACAGGGTGGGGGGCTGAGGGAGGGCCCCAGAGTCTTTTCAGGGTGCACAAGGCCATCAGAGCCAGTCCATCACCCCGCAGGGTGTCCCCGGCGCTGTCGTTGCTCTTCCCTCCCCAGGTCTGGCAGCTGACGAGCAGCTCCTGCGGCTGCTGGCCATGCGGTACGGCGATGGGGCCGGCAGAGTTGGCTTCTCCGACTTCGTCTGCTGCATGCTGCGCCTTGAGACCATGACCTGTGAGTCCCAGCGCCGGGCCGGGCTCGGGCAGGGGTGTGGCAGCAGGGCAGCTCGCAAAGCCAGGCTCAGGGCAGCGGCAGGAGGCAAGGGACACAAGGCGAGGCACGATGAGAACGTATGTCTAACAGCATAGCTTGGAACAACAAACCTGCCTGGAGTCCTGGCATGGTCCAGGCATCCCCTTGGGCAGCCTGTTTTCTAGAAGCCAAATTTATCTCCAAGGCACAGGAGCAACTGGCAGGTAGAGAGGTTTAGTGCAGAGAGAAAGCAGCAGCTGGGAATACTGTGATGCCTTTGCTGAAAGGAGCCAGAAGGAAGGTCAGCCCCCAGCTGCCCCAGAGCTTATCCACATGACTGTGGGCTGCAGGAGCACCACAGTGCCCTGTGGTTTTTTTCCCTACTGAGGAGCAGTGGTAATGTATAACCAGAGCTTCTCTTGAACTGCCAGTCCTTTCTTGCTGCACGGATTTAGCCTGGCCTCTGCAGGCTGTCCTCAGAGCCCCTATGCACTGAGACTCATTTTCTGAAACCAAGACATGCCTTTGTGCTGGTGGCCTTCCACACAAGCTTGAGCTTCCTGATCCACAGCAGAGCTTCCTCCAGAGTGGTGTGGGGCATTTCTGGTACCACTGAGAGGAGACTGCATGCATTCATACCCAGTGAAGAGGAATGAGGCAACACATCTCAAGTGGAAAAGTGGAAGGCTTTCTCTGTTGATTAATAGTCAGGCAAGTTTGAATCACAGCAGAGGAGGCACTTTTTTTTTTAATTGGAGAGATGTTTTTCCCACCAACTTCAGTAAAGTTCACTCAGTTTTTTTGGCAAGGAGAAGGTCTGAGATGCTCCTCAGCGGATAAACAAATTCATGTGCTCTGCTGAGCTATTGTCTTGCAGTTGCAAGGAGGGACTATCTGTAAATAAGCCTTTGCCTAAAAGTAAACTGAATTCTGATTTACAAAAGCGTAATTTTTATTACTCTAATAACAAACATTTTGACTGGAAGTACTGGTATTTAAACACAGCAATTGTGACCCATGTGCTAGAACATTGTTGCAGCAGTTTAGTTCATCTTTGGAGTGAGCTGGGTTTCAAGAGCATGTGGAAATGAGTGTTCATTTTTTTCCCTGGGCCAATAGTGGGCAGTGGATCCGCTCACACAGTACTGCCTAAAATCCCATTTCAGGGGAGTACAGCAGAAAGAGCTCAGCAAGTCAGAGAGTGTCCTGATTTTAATTCTTTCATTAAAAAAACAGATAACTTGTAAACACCTGGATTTTTTTTTGCTATTATACTTGTCACTTGCTGTAGATGAAAATGATGGAATTAGTACCACAGAGGTATTTAAAAAAAAAATCTTACATTTTAAGTGCCAGTGTAAAGACAACTCCTTTACATCCATGTCGAAAGAAATCTCTAGAAATTTCATTTCTGTCTGTAATGGATGTCTTAAAATGCTCTCAACCCTTTCAGTTATCACTTTACAGAGGTTTAATGTGGAATACGTTTCTCCAACTTTTCACCTCATTGTGAATGAGATTGTTACAGGCGAGGATAAGGGTGCCAAGTGGGAATAAAAGGTAGTCCACTTTTATGATGATGTGAATGCAGCAGGGAAGATAAAATCTGTCCCACTTAACTCATTACTCAGCCTTTCAAGATAGCCAGAGATCAGACCCAAACCAAAAGCAGCAGCTTCTTTGCAAATTCTGTTTAACTGGAGTTAATGAAGCAGTAAAGGGGCACTTTTACTGATCAGAGGAGGTAACTCAGCTCTGCCATTTGTTCCTAAAAAGACTTCTGGGCTGAAGTCCAGCCCTGAAAATACAACCTTGTGAAGGGACTGGGTAGAATATAGGGATTTCCATGGTTCATCGTTAGCTTTCCTTGCTGCTTTCTTTCTGCTCTGGATCATAGAGGTAGCTCTGGTTACTTCTTAAAGGGCAAATCAGCAACGTACCCTTCTGGCCTGGTCCCAGCAGCCTTGAGCTTTTGTCTCTTTGTCTCTTTTGTCTAAAGTTGGGCATGTCTCAAAACATTCATGATCTTATAATGCTTTTTCCATTCAGGATGGAAAATAGGCTACTGGAGAAACATGTCATTCAAGGACAGACAGACTTAAATTTCTCTCCACTTTTTATTACTGTTTACACCAGCACAGTTCTAGGAGAAAAGCAATTTCAAAATAAATAAAAAGGACTCCAAATACTGTGTTTTGACTTTATCCGAACACTTGGGTTTGAACATTTCTCCTAGAGACACTGCAGTATAAATGTGCACATAGAATATCAATATTTGAATGGATTTAAATTTTCTGATGGCAGAGTGTTGTGTCAGAAAACTTTCAGCAATGTTAATTTCAAACTCTAGCTGAGTAACAGCAGGATCTGCATTTGTATTCCCTGGAAAAGCCTTGCGAGGCATACTAATAACTTGAAGAGAATCACTTTCTTTAGGGTACACTGTGATCACATACTGCCAGGGAGGATGGAAAAGGCCCAACAGAAAATTTCCCTGTGGGAAGATGTGTTTTATTAGTTCACCGTTCTGCTGTCAGTTTTCAGGTGGGAGGTACAATTGAAACTAATTATGAGAGGAGATGACAACAGTCACATTGTATGCATGAGATGTGGCTCAGCAGGGCAGTGTGGGTGGACACCTGAGCCAAGCAGAGCATCCCAGCACAGGGATTGCAGCTCTCTTCCTCAGCTGCCACAGCCTTACTATAGAATCATAGAATGGTTTGGGATGGAAGGGACCTTAAAAATCCAACCCCCCAGCCATGGACAGGGACACATTCCACTAGATGGGTTTGCTCAAAGCCCCATCCAACCTGGCCTTGAACACTTCCCGTGGTGGAGCATCCATAATTTCTTGGGCAACCTGTTCCAGGGTCTCACTGCCCTCACAGTAAAGCATTTCTTCCTTATACTTAATCTACCCTCTTTCAGCTCAAACCCTTTACCCGTTGTCCTATCACTACACTCCATGACAAAGTGTCCCTCCCCATCTTTTCTGTAGGTCCCCTTTAAGTACTAGAAGGCTGCTATAAGGTCTCCCTGGAGACTTCTCTTCTCCAGGCTGAACGACTCTAACTCTCCCAGCCTGTCCTCACAGGAGAGGTGTTCCAGACCTCTGATCACCTCCATGGACCTACTCTGGACCCACTCCAGCAAGTCCACATCCTTCTTACACTGGTGGGGTCTTGCCAGATCAGAGTAGACGGGGAGAATCACCTTCCTCGATTGGCTGGTCACACATCTTATGGTGCAGCCCAGAATGCACTTTGCTTTCTGAACTATGAGTGCACATTGCTGGCTCATGTTTGGTTTTTTATCCACCAATATCCCCAAGTCCTTATCTGCAGGGTTGCTCTCAATCTACTCATTGACAGGACGGTACTTATGCTTGGGATTGCCTTGACTTGTGTGCTTGTCTGTGTCGCATTCTGGCTTCCTTGTCATGAAACACGAGGTTTTTTTGTTCTACTCCTAGATGCATTTCAAAACTTAGCAGAGGGCGGATCACAAATTTTGGTGACAGCAATGGAGGTAAGAATGTTCCTTCCTTCTCTTCTCTCCCAGTGCAAAGTGGGTCCGTTGAGTATGTTAGCAGAAGGGTGAAGTTAAAAATGATGTATGATGTTTGTTGCTAGAGGTTTTGCCTCTGACACCAACAGTGATGAGGATTTGGCTGGCTTGATGTCCGTAATGGGTGGGAGGTGTTTCCCTGGGGCTCCCTGGCCCCAGTCACACAGCCTTGCAAGGGTGAGCACAGCTCAGTGGTGGCCATCCATGTCTAAAGCAGTCTTCCCTTACCGACCCCAGACTGTCATTGCTGGAAACATTGCTCAAAGAGACTTTGAGGAAGTGACCAAAAAAAAAAAAAGAAATCCCTGCCCTCATTTCTTACTGCCCCATCTGTTACTTCTGAATTGCAAAATACCTTGGTTTTAAGAATGAAATAGCAGACAAATGCTTGCTGCTGCTGTTTGTCTTAAAAGCACAGCCTGAAGGATAGCTAGCTGAATGGAGATACATCAAACTTTTTATCAGCTAGTCTGAACAAAAATCCTGCTGTGCTCCATAGTGATATGCCTGAGTGCTGCATTTTATCAGTTTGGGGACTATTATTTGACAACACAGTGTTTAAAAAGATTTTGTAAAGAAACATTTTACCATCTTGACAGCTCCTGTGTACACTCTGTGGTTAGTTCAGTGCCTTGTAGTTCGTTACATCTGTTTTGCACTAAGACCTGAGAAGAGCTTCCAAACAGAGGCCCTGAACCTGTTTTATGGGATAGCCTGTGGGATAACCAAGTTTCCAGAGCCCGCTATCTCTTCCACTTGGAATCACGCTGGTGCCAGCCTTTCCTAGCAATTGCTCCTGCTGCTGCTGCAGTAATTTATCATGGAACACAACATATGGAAAGTGTTCCTGGGTCTGAACTGTAAAAAGAGAAGAAGACAGTTCCAAACCTCCTTAACTATTCTGTGCAGGACAATAATACCACAGTCTTTGGGTCACAGCCTGGAGGTATCAAGAGACATATCTGAAGACTTAGTGTGACATCACTATCTAAATGCACCTTTTCTTTTTCTTTTCCCAGTGGCTGACTCTTGTTATGTACACCTAAAGAGATGTCAGAGCTCAGTGTGGCTGGTAAGATCTCCTTAGTACTATACATACTGAGGAGAAAGGGGTGGGTGACCTTGCTGCAGCCACTGTGAATGTGAGTGGAGGCCTTACAGAAAACTCATCCTGGGTTATGGTGAGTTGTGAAAGAAAGAGGACAGCTGCAGCATGAGTGGGGCTGGAGAGGGCTGCAAAGGGAAGTGGACTTTGGGTTATTTTTTTCTGGGGAATTGCTGATGGCTTTATCAGGTGCTCAGACCACCAATGGCTCAGTTAGGCACTTGCCCCCTGTTCCCACCAGAGGTAATAAATTTTCAACATCAGGTAGCAGAACTTGTCTTTTTTGTCTTCTTCTGAGGGACGTAATATACTCCTGCATATCTTACATAGCTGCAGCAAATGTAAAGCCAAGTAGAGGGTGGGGATACGAGGTCACTCAAATTTCTTGGTGAGTCTGATTTCACATTTTTAACAGAATTATAAGATTTAGTTTACCTTTGTACAACATTCCATACCTTGTGCTTCATTTGATGTTTGCTCCTTCTATGTCAGGCCTGGAGAAGGGCTTTTTTTGCCCTGAAGTTGATCTGGACTTTCCAATTTTGTTATCTGATCCTCATGAAGGACTCTGCCTTTTCCTACAAAACTTGTCCTGTTCATAGATCCATAAACCACCTCAGCCATCAAGCTTCTACTAACTCACTGGGATGCAGCTGTTGCCAGCTGCAATGGTAGAGCATTACTGCTGGTCCCAGACACTGGGCACCGAGGAACAAACAGGGAGAAAACCCAGTCCTTAGAGATGTGCAGTGGAGAGCCAGCAGCCTCCTGCTATTGTATTGTGGTTGACCTCAGGAACTCACGAGGCACTGTTGGGCAAAGTCACACACTTCCCTTATCAACCCAGTTCAAAAATTGAGTGAAAAACAGAAAAAAAAACACAGGACCTTCATTGAAATCTAGGGACAGCATCCAGATGAGACTTTCTATAGGCAGGAATGACTATAATGAATAATAGATGAAGAGCATCTCTGGTATCTTGCATCCTGTTTCTAAAGGCAGTTGACATTGGATGCCAGCTTTGGTGAGAAGTTGAAAGGGGAAATGTATAAACAAGGTTTAAATTACACTCCCCCAGGAAGAAAGCATGGTAGAATCAGACCCAAAGCAGGGATGGATCCATCTATTTCATCCTTGGCTCCAGGACAGCATTTGTTCCTACCTGTCCTTCTATCTTGGCTCCTAGTTCCATCCTGGCTCCTAGTTGTATCCTTCTGTAGCAGGAAATGGGTTTCACCAGTCAACACGGTGATGCTTTCACTCCTCTGAGCTCTGTTTGCACACAGTTATTTGTCTGAAAGTCTATCCTTTGCATTCAGAGAACTTTAGACAGTGCACCTTCCCTTTGTCACAGCCAAGCTGTATTGTGATGTGTTGTGGTGTAGAAACAGGTTATTCACAGCACAGCACCCACCCCTTGCACTGCAGACTATCATTAGGTAAATAGGAGACTAGAAGGACCTCACTTTGGGGGATGAAGCTACTGAAATTATTGCTTGCAAATGATATTCATAGTCTATTTAGTCTTCTTTTATCCTTTCATGAATCATTCATAAACTGATCATAACTTCTGCAAATATGTAATTAATCATAATTTTCACTTTATGCCTGTAAATGTTGAAATTCTGCCTGTAGAGTGTTCATAAGCATGTCACTTGAACAGTTTAGGAGCCACTTGCAGCAGGAGACTGGGCCAGTCATAGCAGGGGCTCCTCAGAGGACTGAAACTTTAAACTAGAGCCTAACAAACTGTGAGCGATGTGGGAAAACATACTTGGCATTTGTTGAAAAAGTTCTGTTGGAAAAATTCTTCTCGTTAGTGATTTTTAAAGGCTGACCTTCAGCTGTCTGTATTTTGAGTGAGTCTCTTTACCTCTATTTT